GCCCTGAAGCCCTCAGCCTGGGAATGGAGTGAGTCTATTAGGAGGATCTGAGTTGGTTGCTATTTTCCACCTTCATACGATTCCCTGCGTTGATTTATATTCCCTCAACTTCCCAGGTGCTGCTGTCAAGGATTCCTCCTTGAATAATCACACTGAGAAGATATCTCTCGCCTTTTTTCCCACACAACGAGAGACTTTCGCTGCGGATGATAGTCAAGAGTCTATGAATTATTCAGTGATGGCCAAAGCGCCGAAGATGAATTCTCACCATCAAGCAATTAACGAATAATAAAATAATCTACTATACAATATTAAAGAGCCTCATTGCACGATATGATGTTAAAGCGGTGTAAATCTTTAAGATTAACAGCATAGGCATTTTTGGGTAATCCAAAACCGGCCAAAACAAATTTCTCCCCACTGATTTTAATGCAATTTCCAATAAGATCCATGGCCCTCTTTCCTGAGGGGGCGGCGGAAGATGGGAGAGAAAGCCAAATCCTAACATCATCTCGGAGGCGATATCTGTTTCATTGGAACCCCTCAGAAGAAGAAAAGAACAAGTGCAAATGGGTGAAATGCCAATGATTTCCCGCCTGCCGAAACTTGGCCAGCAATAACATCCATTACAATCTCCTGAGAGGCCGATGGGAGCACTGAGATGTACGATTATTGGTGTGGCGTATCGATTTTCAAAAACAACCCCCCGATTTCCAAGTCATCCTCATAAACATATCGTGTTACAGGGGAACTTCACTGGCCATGGAGATGAAATTGAGTGCTTTAGTGGCTTCACCTTTCCATTTGCACCCTCCTTTGCGCCTTTTTCCGTCCGTATTTCTTCATTTCATCGACTTTGAGTGACTGTAGTAAGTTGGGAATGGCATTAAAAACCCACGCGTGTTGATAACGTTATCCTATTTTCTCCTCTCTCTCTCTCTCTCCCGGAGATGAAGAAAAAAAAACTACTTCAACTGCAGCTCTCAGCATTAAGATTTCATGGCACATGGATTTAGAGTGTCATCCACTGGGAATCCACTTATAATTTCACATTCCTGTAATGATTTTATGTGTGTGCTGAAGCCGCAAAATAGAGTGAAATACACCATCTAGCAATTTAGTTCCCAGCAAACATATGCAGAACACCTCATCTCATGCCAGCGCCTCCCCTCTCGCCATGGGAGGATAAATAACTCCTAATGCAAAATTAACGAAGGGCTGAGCTTTGAGGCGACAAACACAACTAAAATATTTATTCATTCACTTATGGGCAAAAGTGGATGGCAAGTCGGAACAATTTGAGGGAAAGTTTCTCTCGATGGGGAGAGGAAGTGCAATTGATGAGGGGGTGGAAGAATGAGACATTTTAGTGCTACTCGGCCGGGGCGAACGGGCTGGAGATGGATGAACTTTAATCAGGGGGTGTGTATGTGGTCATTTAGGGAATTTCGAGATAGACTTTGCTAGGACAGAGTCTAATGGGCGTAGTTTAAATTGAAAATTTCACATCATTTTCTGAGTGTTTCGTCCTCTTTGGATGCAATGCATATTTTGGAGCCTGGATAGATTCTATTTTTGTATTTTTTTTAGACTTTTTCTATATTATTATTATTTAGAGAGATATTGGAAAGCCTACACATTCATCTAACAAGCCTCAGCAGTATCAATAAGGCAAATGACTGCCGTGACATTGGTTTAATTTAAAGTAACCGTTTAAGATTGCTTAAATGCTTTAATTTGGGAACATATTATTAGTAAATATTCACAATCTTCGTGTACAAAGAGAATACTTGTGATTTGGAGAGAAAATTGGGCCTTCAGTGTTGACATTTGGTCACTCTTGGCGACTGTTAACACGTGAAATCTCAAAGGTGCGGAGTCACCCTGCGACCTCAGAACGTGAAAGTCCTCATGATCCCCTCGGGACCATCCACCCGGACGGACTGAGGAGTTGGGGCGAATTTGAAGGGAAGTCACGCACCTCTCGGGACCTGAAACACCAAAATGTCACTCGGAGCTGCAATTTCTTGGCCAGACATGAGGGGTGGACACTTGCAGAACGGGTGGAAGTCAATTAAATATTATTAATATGGCAACCGACATTCTCAGAGCACTAAAACTGATGACCACTTTGAATTTGAGCTGGGGGAACAATTTAATGTGACTTCAGGGGCTTGTTTTGCATTATCTAGCAAATAATCACGGATTCACCCTTCACAGTACGATCGACTGCCATCACAGCTGACAAGGTGAATGCTGGTGAGCTTTTCGCGTTTAGAAGGGTGTAGGAGGTTGTCGAAAAGCTCTTTTCTCCGAAATGAGGGAAAATTTAATCAATTTTGGCGAAGCGGAATGGAAACAAGAGAAAGTTATTAGCTCATTTGCCTTTTAATTAAATACAATATGTCCATACCTCAAACCCCAAAATGCACTCCCTTAATTCTTCACTTCAATGATTTTTCCATTTCCCGGGGAAATTTTATCACCCTCTCCCACAATTCGGGGCGAATTGTGTTGGGTATATATTATTCCGAGGCAAAACTTTCAATCGCGATAAGGAAAGTCAGGGGCAAACCGGGGAGATTTGCAGGAGTGAATTGTGGATGCTTCAGCCCCACGATAGTCGAGAGAAAGGAGGTCCCGAGAGGGCTCCTCAGAGCGGTCGAAGGGTGGTGGATGAAACCACAATTAAAACTAAAAACTAATTTCATATCTCGGTCTTTTCTCCAATTATTGTCTCCTCGTGTGGCAAACACCGCAAAAGGGGGTGGCAAAGTGATGAGTTTCCACTGTCATTCCGGACGATGTCGAAGAAAGCCCACAACCTGTGTTCTACAGCATCTCAGTGGGATTAAACTTGCCACAGAGATTGGTTATGGAGCTCATGATTTGGAGAATGGCAAGAAAGAAATCAACAAATAACAATCAATTAAAGTGTCTTCGCTTTTGGGAGAAAACACCCCAAGATTGATGAGCTTCACTCTCTCTCTCTCTCTCTTTCTCTGTTCAGGTCAATATTTCCGCAAATTGAGGGTGTGTTGCGATTGGACGATAAGAATGGATTTCTGCCTTTCCATACACATGACTTTAGAAGCTAAAGCTTTCTGGCCATCTAGTATTTCACAGAATGTACGTGAAGCTTCTGCTGTTAAACTTTCTCAGGCTCATAATACCCTGTCTTCGTGCAGTATCACAAACAATATATGCACAACAAACATCCTTCCGCAGAAAATTGCACAAGAAATCCATCTAATAATAGCCATTGTTTCCCGAAGAGTCAAAATAAACCATCGCACACCGATGTGGAAAGTGTGACGCCATTCCGGCAAATTTCCACCCCATATTGTTCAGGGGGTGGCTGGAAGTTTTGCCCGGGACTGAAAGTGAATTAAGACACTCCAATATTGGATTTAAATACAACAAAAGCTGAACGATTTGGCGAGATGAATTTTCTGGGTGATGCACAGCGGGAACTTAATGAAATTTGCCGGAGGGCATTCAACAAGGCAATAAGGCCGGAGGTGAAGTGATGCAATATTCTTTCTTTGGCCCTCTTGGAGGGCTTTCTTCTCCCCATCGTCCGGACACTCAATCAGATTACTGAAGGCGTCTCCAGGCCCACCCACAGCGAACCGAAATGGCTCCTGAGGTGGTCAAAATGCAGAGTGTCTTTCTTTCTTTTCCGGAATTGTCGATACAGCAACACGTGTGGGTGGGAAGGAGTCACTCACTTTCGCATATTAGATGCACAGAGGGGCTCAGCATCCCTCGGAAAAACGTGGAGCATCTGTTGGTTGGCACAACTGTGCACTTTGATATTAGTTTTCTCATATAGAGACTCACGAGCAAGTCACATTATAGTTTGACAACATCATCAGTGTTGGAACCTTTTGAACCCCCCGTCTGAAGGGGTTGCTCTCCATTGTGCCATCTGTTCGCCAATTCCGCCTCACCCGAAATTTTTCCGCCCTCCCACCCCCTTTCCCGTTCCCCTGTCGGAAATGCAGGGGAGAAGACAGGACAAACACAGAGAGGCAATAAAAATCGCCCAGAAGAGACAGAACATGAGGTCAGAGGGCCAAATTGCGAGGGTGGACATCGCCTCATGTACCAATTGATGACCTTGTCACCATTTTCACCGACATCGTGTCCGGCAGAAGTCAACTCCCCACAGGAGGGTGGCAAACAAGAAAAGTTCAGACACTCCACCCACTTCGATCTCTCCCAGAGTTGCAGCTTTTCAGCACGCTGAAAAATTTAGATTAATAGAAATGAATGTGCCAAAATGGTTTTCACATTGCAGAATTTCATCCAAAAGTACGCAAAACACATACATTTTAACATTTGAAAAACGCATTCTCTTGCCAAACTTATAAAAAATGGAAATATTCGCCACAAAAATTAAAATTTATCATGAACAAATACCTCAAAGTGAGTGTAAAATTTTATCTGAAATATTCGGAAACAGCTAACAAATAGGCGAATAATCCAGTGAGCTGTTACCGTGGCGCAAAATTTCCCTTAATCCATGCTAGAGAGTTGATTGAATAGATTGAAAAGCCATCAATGAATGAATAGCATCAGCACAGCCCTAAAATCAAGTGAGAAAGCTCTATAAAAAGCCCATAAAAGATTTTATCGGCCGACGAAACAATCGAAGCCTCTCATCGTCACCTTGTCACAGCGACGGCTCAAGGTAAAATATTCCGGATTCATGGGACATTTAGCCAGGGGATGAGCGTGAGCCCGGAAAAGTGTCCTCAAATCACACTTTCGATCCATTGACTTTCACTCTTCGTCCCAGCAAATTTCTGTGGCTTCTGCCCTCCGAAGCGCACCTTGTGTAATTGAAGTGTGGAGGAGGGAAAAAAAAGGTGTGAAAGAAGAGCGTGATTAAGATTTCCATTTGACCACGAGCACAAATCTGGAATTAGTGCGTGTGCAAAGGGCTGACAAGTGCGTAATTTCTAATCTCCTCTTCGTCTGTTTTGCTCTTTCAGGGACGATGCAATCGCGAGAAGCCACCCTGCAAATATTTCCATCCGCCACAGCATCTCAAAGATCAACTCCTCATCAACGGCAGGAATCACTTGGCCCTCAAGAATGCTCTCATGCAGCAGATGGGCATCGCTCCCGGACAGCCGGTGATTCCCGGTCAGGTGCAAACAGTGGTAAGTGGAGATGAATGGGACTCCGCCCCATCTGCACTTTCACCTCTTCGTGTGACTATTTGTGTTTGAATTCAGTTTTCTTTGGAAAGTCTCTCTTCGGTTCTTCCCTTTCGTTACTCACCCATGAAATATATACGCTTTGAACTTTATAATACCTCTTTTGATTTGTGTGTTTCTTGTCTAATTTGATCGCTCTTTTGACTAATTCTCATTAGATTTTAGACATAACATTTTATATACACTATATATACTCTTGATCTCTTTTATATAAATCCCCAATATTGCAAGTCAACTTAGATTTGTGGCACTTTTAGAGTGATTTTAGGAATACCTTCAACTTTATCGTTAGCAACCTATTTATTTATCTATTTCTTTTGCAAATTACAATCGAAAAAAAGGGAGCACAGAGATATTAAATATCATCTTTAGATGAGTACCTCTTTGTTTAACAGCCAAAGGAAGATTTCAAATCAATTTTACCTTATATATAATTTTCTTTACGCCATTCTTCATCCTATAAATCCTCTTCTGATTAACAACAAAACATATCTTCATATACATTCTCACAAATAACAAAAAAAAATAAACAAATGTACTGTTGTCTGTTCACAACTGATGGTTAAACGATAGCCATAAAAGCTTGACTTGGTGTTGTGTTTTTTCTTTAATTTCTTGAGGATGTCCAGAATGGAAACACATCTGTATCGCCTATAGGATTTTCACTTCAATTTGGATCGCAGCCCATTATGGTAATGAGACGTTATTTTTTTCGTTTCTCCCTTCAAAAAAAAAAAAAAAAAAAGAAAAATAATTTTGCGCTTTTCTGCACCCACTCAGAGGGTCTTTCACTGCTTCGCTGGCTTTCCAACTAGCAACTGAGCTGAGCTTTCTCATTTCCGCATGTGCTTTTAAGTGTTTTTCTTTCTTCTTCTTCTATCTTCTATCACTATACAATGCTGAGGATAAGATTCTGTTTCAGGGATTGCGTGTGGATTTCATTGGCTAGGGAGTCATTAATGCGTGTTCTCTTCACTTCAGGCCACAAATCCCTACCTGACCGGCATGCCGACGAGCACCTATAGTCACTACTTCGCGCCTGGTCACCTGATGCCAACCATCCTAGGCCCGGATCCATCCACAGTGTCGCCGCTGGGTCCAGTCGTCCCGCAAGCCGTTCCAGTCGCCCAGCAGAAGATACCGCGATCGGACAGACTCGAGGTGAGATGCCAAGGCGCGCAGGCGATAACTCTCCCCAGGGTTTAGGTCTAGGGTGGTTTTTTTTCTACTTTCCTCTATCTCGGTTCCTAGAAGCTTAAGATTTTTCTTTTGTACTCTCTTAAAGAAACATTATACTATATATTGTCAATTTTCCACATCACCTGCCAGAGGTAGTGACATGGAATTTATGAGAAGATTTCTGCACCTCTTAACAGATACACCGCCTCAAGTGAATGCCGCTGAAACAGTTTTTACCAATCAGTTTTCTTTTTCATTGTGTTTTTTCTTTTTCTTTTGGATAAATCAAAATATCACATTTGGTTTTTTAGTTGCTGCAGCCGCTCAATTGGGGACTGTTCTGTCCCAAGCCCACAATTTAAATGCTCCGTCTGAAATTGTAGTGAGAAAAAATTGTTGGTTATTCGAAAAATATGGCGGGAAAATGATCACAAATCACGTGCAGTGGATAACTTTTGGCATATACAGCAAACAGGAAAAAAGCGGGTGGGTTGGTGGGTTTGAGGGTAATTTGATATTTTGAGCATGAGATTTTTCATATTAAATGCGCTGGTTTAAAACTGATGTTAAAATGATGAGAAGTCTGCAATGTTGTGTATTTTGTTATGCTAATTTTATGTGCGAGCGTGTGTGTGTGTGTGTGTTGAATATTTCCAGAGTTTATATACACACTCTCTTTTTCATAATCTGAATATTAATCCCTTATTAAGTGACTGACTGAGTGAATGATTAATTTTACAAAAAAAAAGAAATGGTATGGAATGCACTATATACACTAAAAACCATATATTTCTCTTATGTTTCCTTTTCACGTTATCCAATTTATGAGGAACTTTCTTCATTCTTTTAGCTTTAGCGCACGTCATTATATGTTCGTCAGTGCATTAATTTTTGTTAGAAGTGAAGAAGGGAAATTTTATAGAGATCCCGCCCACTCTCATGCCCCGCCCACATTCCCAATCACACGCAATTGTAGTATATTTAGCTCAAATGAATCGACTTTTTCGCAATTCTGTCTCGGGTTTTTTTTTACTGTCCTGATTGTGAATTTTCTCATATGTTGCAGTTAATATTTTTGCCAATTGGGCGCAACAAAAGGGATGTGGGCATAGCGAAACAATGGTCAATTGTAGCACTCATGAAAGGCATCAGTGACAGAGAATAATACCACATAAATGTTTCGAATATTGCAAAAATTCCCACCAAACGAACATGGGCACAATACACACAATATCCTATTTTTTTATTCCGGGATGCCATATATGCGCGCCCACCCAAATGGGTGGCTCTCATTTTTCACTACATACGCGGGTGATATAAAAAACTATCAAACGAACACTTGGGGGGCGTCAAATGTAGTCAATTAGAGCGACATGGTGCAAATTATTGCAATGATTTTGAATTTTGACGCTGAAATCTCCACAATTTGGCACAGACTTTCGAATCAACCCAGTGTCACTTGATGGAATTGAATTTTTGCTGACTGATAACAACGCTATGTTTGTGTTTATTTTGCGTTTAGGGACTTTTTTTCGGAAGAGCGTCGAGTTTATCAGGAGGGTGTGTTTTGTCGGATAGAAATCTCTCTGTTGTCTTTTCCGGTGCGAGTGCGCTTTTAAAACTCATTTCGACTGTGGTATTTTTTCAACACTTTATGCTGTTTGTGTTGGACTGGAAAAAATTCGTTAAACCGCCATAGCTGTCAAATCCGAAATAGCTCTGATGACTGTCAGTGTGACATTTCAGTTGGTGCCGAGCAGCAAATTACTGGGAACTTTTTCTTCAACACTCTATCCAATTAAATTCTCTCCAGTGACGCACATTTTCCCTGACAGTGAGAATTGGAAATTTGATTTTATAGACAAAAATTCAGCAAAGCGTGGGCGAAAGGAATCCAATGAAAATGGACAAAAATTGTGCAAATCCAATCATGAGTGTGACTTTTTAATTCACACACCGGCACAAGCAAAACGAGAATGCCAGGCTAAATTAATTCAAGCCTTAATTTCTTCTATGGAAATTCTATCATGTTGCAACTAGGATTTGAACGCACAGGACATGATAGAGAGAGAGAGGGAGAGTGAGATTATACCGATTTCAGCAAGATTTATACCGGAAAATCAAAATTCCTCTGTTGTTGGGAAAATTCTGGATGTGTGGCGAAGAAGGAATGGGAAATTTTCCACATCATTAGTGCTGGGAAAAATATTTATGGATTAAAGTCCTTTCTGCGTCTCATGACAAAAAACTGCAAGTCAGTTTTCCGATATTTTTCATCAGTTTTCATCAAATTACACCCAACTTCACCCCCAATCCTTCCGACAGATATTTTGCCTTTTCTTCTTTTCTCTTTTCCTTGAGAAGTATTTTATGCGAATGCCATTTTACTATGCTCTATTGTTTTGCGTCTTGAAATCTTCTTAAGTTTTCTTTTCCCATTTCAGCGCTCCCACTATGCATTTTGACTTTTATTCTTCTCTTTATACTTCTCCTAAGTTTGCTCTTCACTTTCTGTAGTCACGTTTTTGATTATATATATATAGTTTTTTTTTCTCTTTGCTTCCTAATAATTTTGCTGGCCATGTTTCTATGTAATCCTCTTTCTGTTCTGTGTCATTTTCTATCGTGATCTTCAGGGTTGTTCTTGTTTATTCACACCCCAGAGAGAATTTCTCTCTGTCTTGGACACTCAATTGATATAAAAAAAAAACTAATCTCGATATGATTTCTGTTACTCGTGCGAGCTTCTCACCACAATATATAAATAAAACAAGAAACATATTAACCATATATGATGTTAAAACAATCAAAATTCTGCATGCGCGCGCCAAAATCGCACCCCGCCTCAGGCTTTACAGTTTAACAAGCGTTTTGAGAAAAAAAAAAGGAAATTTTGAGTGTCCTCCGGGGCGACAGAGAAGCAAATGTTGAGATGAAGCCAAGAGCTAAAGAAGTGAGTTTTGTTACAAGATGGTAAATGCTAAAGACAGTCGCCACCCCGTTTTTGTCTTAGGTGTGTCGCGAATTCATGCGCGGCGCCTGCAAGCGAGCCGAGTCCGAATGCCGTTTTGCTCACCCGCCTCAGGAGAGCGTTTCAACGCACGAAGACGGTTCCGTCACGGTGTGCATGGACGCCGTGAAGGGTAGATGCGCACGTGACCCCTGCCGCTACTTCCATCCTCCCTTGCACCTTCAGGCGCAAATTAAAGCAGCCCAGACACGCGCAACCGCGGTATGGCTCATTTCTCCAAGACACCCCCGTCCGCCCTGTGTGAATCCCGTCCACTAAACGCCCCACCGTGTGCCGTGGACCTCATACTCACCCATCCTCAGCTGCCCAGCTCCCGGCTTCCCTCTTTGTCGTTTGATTTTATGTGTTGATTCTCCTTTGTTTGCTCATGTCTGGCCCTCTCTCGACACCTTCCCAACGTCCTGCAGAGCTTTTGCTTGAGAGTCGCGCGCGAACGCAGTTGCAGACGAAGAAACTGGAGCCACAATCTCCAATCTATCGGCCATCCAACTCTGTTCGGCGACTCAATTCATTCCCAAACAGCCACCCAAGTCCGCTCTCCTTTCCCATAAGACAAACAATTGTGTGTGTAATTTCTGCAATTTGTGCTTTCAAATCAATTTGCTAAATTCCTCAATCGGCGCTTTAGACGTTCTTTGTGTTACTTTTACCACAACTTCAACATTACACAAATTAAAGCAGAAATAAGCAGAAGCATATTTAATTGAAGTCGCGTTTTTCAGGGGAGAAACGCTTGCCGTTTCTCCAGATTGTTGAATCAATTCGGGGGGGGAGGGTGTAAGAGGGGGGATATCAGTGGTAAAATCAAGAGAACAATAAGTTGTGCACGACTAAATCTCCTTCTATTACCCATACTTTCATGTAGATTCTTCAGTTCTTTTCTCTCCTCATTTGACGGTGTGTTTTATTTGATGTTTTCGACCTGTGTTGTCTGTATTTCATCCTCCTGTCTGTCTTCTCCTGTAATTTCAACAAAAGAAAGTTAAACAATGATTAAATAAAAGAGTTGAAAATATTAGTCCCTACTATACAAAACCACACTTTTCTGTAAGTAGACTCAAAGTTAAGTACCAATTGTAGTTGGATTTATTTAGTTACACGTTTACCTTTTAGATCAATAGGGAAATATTCTCTTAGTCTCTAGATTTTTTCCGCTCCTCCATTCCTCTATATCTCTACTATCTGCAAGAATTGAATGACCAACAACCCTCTCGATGTGATCCTCTTTTTCATTTTTTTTGTTTTATCTTTTCCTCACATTGGCTCTCTGTAAAAGCTTTTACGCCAGATGCAACGCCACATTTTCTCACTTTGGGCCTCGCTAAGTGTCTTCCATGAATTATATGTGTATACTTTTTTATCCTTACACTTTAGTTCTGTCCTTTCACTACTTTGGCAACAGCGCATTGTTTTGTGTGCATTTCTGTGGAGATATTTTTGTCAGAGCGGAAAAACACGCGCCGAAGAAAGAAAGGAAAAAAAAACACACAAAAGTGTTCGAGAAAAGCACAATTCAACTTTGTGTCATTTAAGGGTGACTTTGAAATAAAATTATGGCTGAATTTAATAAGTAAACACTAGTCTCTTAATTCTATTAATATATCCTTTTAAGGGGGGAGATAATTTAATATTGTTTGTGGCTATTTAGGGAAAATGGGACAAATTTGTCATGCCATAATGCATATTATTTCTCGCTTTATTCAGTATTTTCCATATGATTTTTATGGTTTCAAAAAGTAGAAACGTCTTGAACTACAAATATTGGATTGCGAATATAATAACGAAAAACTCACAGAGCAGAAAGTATCAAATCTCCAATCCGAAACTCATGATATTGAACACTTGAGGAACTCTTATAGTAGGAAAATTGATTCAAATTAATGTGTGGCTGTTGTATTGAAACTCCACCCAACAAAAATCTCTTATTTTACCATCTCTTGTGAGGTTTGTTCCTGTGTGTCTTACTTTCCGCACACCCTGTGTCTTTACCCCCTGAAGTGCATGAATTTGTAAATCTCCCTCCTGACATTGCCTTCAAGCTTGCCTTCGTGCGACTTTCACCCGTAAATATCAATTAGCCGACTGTTTTCTTAATAGATTTCCCTCCCCATTGGCTGGAGACTTTTCTCTAAATTTCAAATAAATTCTAATTATACCGCGCTGAAAAGAGAGGGCAACAGAATTGGCGACAGTCGCCATGCAGAATTATTATCTCTGGCTGTGGAAGAACTGGCCATGCGGAGCTTTTGTGTTAGCTCAGAAAGCTCCCGAATGTGATTCTCAAATCGCGCTCGACAGTGCCTAAAATGGTGTATAGTTTCCAGGAGACTGCTGATGAGAGTGGGTTGAACATCCCCACCCAGTCTGAGCTTTTATGTTCCCCTTTTTTCCGTATACTTTATTCAGTGCTTCTGACCGCACACACACACATTCTATAGCGGCAAATTACGCGCGATTTAACTCAACGTGTCGTTAGACTACACGGATAATTTTAATTGCTGTTTCTTCTGTGGACGTTAATTTAAAGTGGAAAAAACTTCACAGGCACACCCCAAAGTGGGAAAATTCACCGTGCATCTGAAATGAAAGAGACTTTTTGTTCATTTATTTCTTATTTTCTCCATCACTTTATTTTGTTGATCAGTGTTAATTTGTTCAGAAGAAATACACAGTGAAAGTGGTGTGAATGAGTATGTTGTTGTTTTTTTTTTCTTCTCTCACTGAGAATTTCCAGGCCAACATCGAGTGTAATTAGAAGTATGAAGACGGTTATTTGCCATGCCATCATCTCAAGTTACAAAATTGAGTTTTCATGCAATAAGCAATATCATATTGAAGGTAAAATGAGGCAAGAATGTGAGAAACTGCAAGTTTTGCAGGGAGAGTTTCCTCGTGAAATAGCATCACAGCAGTTAATTGAATCACGACCGAAAGTTTGTCTCAACGTTGTGAGAAATGTGTAAACACTTCAAACGTCATCGTCAAAAGAGTTTTCTTTCAGCCACAGTGGAGACTTTTCACCACACCTGATGGTGCAGCTAAAAAGAAATTCAGATAAATTGCATTTATCTTTGATGACATTTCTAGCATTTCAGCATTTGTTGCATATTTATAATCACACACACAGAACATATTCAGAAATACACATTATTTTCATTAACTTGTGACTTTTTTCTCTGCCAAAAGCAGAGAGAGCTTTCGTGGCTTTTAGACAAAACTCTAATTAGATGGACTTTTGATGTTTTAGTGAAAAAGAGAGCGGCTAAAATCTTCTTTTTCTTTGCACAAACCGCTGAGGAACAGCATCAAGAAGAGATTGCTTTTTGGTATCATTTCCAAAAACAAACAAACAGTCATTATGCTCTTCCTCAGTGTCTAAACTTATGCTTCAGTGAATGTTTCTTTCAGCTTCATTTCGCCAATGTCAAGAAAAGAGTTTTTCAACAACCAAAAATTGTAAATAATATTTTGATTTTGCTTGTAAATAATTTATGATTTCACATTTTATTATTTTCTAGGGCGATAAAATTATTTTTTTCCAAATTTATGTTTATATTTTATTTTTATTTTCTCTTCTCTCTCTCTCTCTGACATTTTGCCTGATTATCGTGCGTGCTTCTCTGGATTGATGGATCTCGCCTATTGGATGGTATCTTCACACACAAAAATACACGCAAAATCAATTTGAATGCGCGCCTCTCGCCCACGAAAAAAAAACCTCCCAAACGCAAATGCTTCACTCTCTCTCTCGCTTTGGCTCACAATCTACCTTCCACACTTCAACTAACATCCTTGGTGACCAAATCCCATCCTCGGACAACTCCTGGACATCCCGGCCGAAGACTGGCCCCGTGGCGAGTGTCGCTTCCGGACAAATTCTGAGCACCTCAGCCGCCGCCGCTGCCGCCGCAGCCGCTGCTGCCAATTTGCCGCCGCCTCACGCCGCCCCGGCTCCCCTGAGCGCCGTCCTTGGCCATCCAGTGGAAGTTGGCAAGAAGCGTGCCGCCGAGAATGATGCCATGTTCCAACTGGTACTGAGCTTTTGCATCAGCTTTTGCATGATTTTCCCTCGTTTGCACCGTTTTTCTTTTGCGCCTCCGCTTTCTGTTTCGCGCCGAAGGTGGAGATTTGGGAAGATCGAAATCGTGCAATTCTTTGAGCACAATCGACCCGAATCTGCACCCTTTAGCTGCCCACTAACCCTCATGATCCCCTTTGCATGACATGATGTTGTTAGTGTGTGATAATTTCTGTACGCTTCTGCCGCTTGTGCCAATGAATTTATCTGAATTCACCGAATGCTGCAAGTCTCGTGAAACTCCTTCAGACACACTCATTCATTGTGGACACTGATACTTGAGGTTTGCAGTGCGATCGATGGAGCAATTTGACAGTCAGTTGTTGAGGATGAAGAGAGCGTGTGTGAGACTCCGGACTTAATTGACTAAATTGACTATTGATTCCGAGGTGTTTGCAGATTGTGTTTCGCGCCACTAATTGACCTAATTATGATAGGTGTTTGCGAGAGTGTGTATTAATTGCAAAAGTGTCTCATTATTCATCTCTTTTTCCATTTCCCTATATCGATTACTTTTCAAATTATCCCCTCACCTTTTTCAATAGTTTTTCTATTCCTTTTTATTCAAGTTTTATTGACTACCATTTCCCTCTTGATCTCTCTTTCACTAAAAAATAAAATTACAAAAACACTTCGTACTTCATAGTTGGGAACACAGGACAGACATGTAATTGCGATTTTTGCTGTACTTGCAGATGGATGTCAAATCCGTTGGATCCTTCTACTATGACAATTTCGTAAGTATACTCTCTCCACTACCTTCAATATCAATCAATCTAGACAGACATGTTGGGATTATTTTGAGCTTTGACTTAAGCATCTCGTTGCTTTACGTTTCTTTGACATGGTTTTGAAGCTTGAGAGCTCGCTAAATTGCCAATTTGACCCTTCCTCCTCAGGCGAAATGCTGCAAATTCTGATTGATTTTAGGATGCTCTTTGGCTTCTCACTAGGTTCCGAAAGCTTTGAGATCTTCTCAGCTTAGACAAGTCCCTAACCTTCTCCGGGGCCTGAATGCCTAGTACACCACCCCCACCCCCACCCCCACCCTGCTGACTATCTTCTGTAATTGTGAGAGAATTTTCTGTGCATTTTCCACCCCTTACAGGCTTTCCCCGGCATGGTACCTTATAAACGGCCAGCTGCTGATAAATCAGGCATACCTGTATATCAACCAGGCGCAACCACTTATCAGCAATTGATGCAACTGCAACAGCCATTTGTTCCAGTGTCATGTGAGTACCCTAGTCCCAGTCCCGCAGCAACATCAACAATTCCACATACATCCACAGCAAATCCCATCGCTATTGTCAATAGTAACACTAACAGCAGTCACTTTAATCCGACAACCAACAGCAGCAATAGCGTTGATGTTAACTGTAACAGTACGAGTAGTGTTAGTTGCTCGAGCAGCAGTAGTCAGAATAGTGTTGCCAGCGTCGAGATCACGGCTGTGACCTCAGCCTCGGAGGTCGCGGTCAATGAGACAGAGACGCGCCCCGTGTCCACGCAGAGTATCGTGGCGATTCCGCAAACTATCACAGCCACCCCGGTGCCATATGCGATCCCCGCCAATGCCGCGCCACCGCTGTACCCCGACCCAGCCGCCATTGCTAAGGAAGTGGCGCAAAAGAACTATGCCAATGCGCTTAAGATGGCGGCGGCTTCTCATGCTTTGAAACCCCCTCTGGCGGCGCTGAACTACACCGGCGTGGCGCTCAATAAGTCGGGAGCAGGCATTCTGCCACCGCAGCCCGTCAGCCCTGCCGCTGCTGCCGCCGCCGCGGCCGCTGCAGCCCAAGCTGCCAAGAATACAGCCCTTGCTCGCCTCAAGACACCCTTCAGCGTGGCTCCGCCGCCCGCTGGCCACTCTTCGGCCGTCTCGATGTTCCCCACATTGGCCAGGCCACCCCCGCCTGTTATTGTCCAGGCTCCGCACCTTTTGCGCCCCGGTCTGACACCGCAGCACCCTTACATGGCGGCCGCTGCTCAGCCCAACCCTCAATTTCTGCAGCAGGGCTTGGTTTATCCCGGCTTCCCAGCTTCTAGCTACTTAGCCAGTCCCGTGCCGGGAGCCGTGCCGCCTAACCTCCACGGCGCTGGCCTGGGTGGCTTCCAGGCCCTGCAAGCGGTCCAGCAGGCGGCTGCTGCACAGCAAACCAGCACTCCTGGCAGTGCCGTAGTCCTGAATCCCTACAAGAAAATGAAGACCTCCTAAGTTGCTCTTAGGTTCGCGTAACTAATTTTTTTTAACAGTCAGACAAATGTACTTAAACCCCTGTCCGAAAGTTGAGATCCTTTTTTCTGAGATTCGTCTGAGAACCTCATGGCCATATGAAATTGAGACAATGAACTAAAGGATAGTGCCTCATATTTACAAAAAAGAAAAAAAAAAAGAAAGATAGAGAGTGACAAATTTCACGAGTTCTAGTTTAGACCCAACATCCCTAAAGAGTCAAGCAACATTGCATTTAATTCGTTTTACTCTAGGTTTAGGATGTCTCTTGAGTCATTTCTCTGTGATAGTTTGCAGAGTCCCCAGGTCACTTGCGCAATAGAGAGGTCCTTTTCGCACTTAACCTCAAAATCCCTCAGTCGCGCGCCATTTTGTTTTTTTAAAATTAGGAAGTGAGTATTGTTTTGATGTGTCCCGCTCGTGATAATTCAACAGCGAAACTCGATGAAATTGATGATAACGAATTAGCATAGTGGGAGCTTTTCTCAATGCTTGGAAAAAGCTCCACGTTTCGACAATATGTCTTCCAGTTTTTCACAACTTTCCTTTAATGCTTGCATAAAAATTTTCCGTTTCTTCGCACATGAGAATCTATGGAGAAAAGTAAATTGTGATACATTTTGTGGAATTGGTAGGGACACTGAGAGAGAAGAGTGTAGAAATTAGCTTTAGACTTGTTGTCACTTTGATGTTTGGATGTTTAGACTAGAAAGTGATCAAAAGCTTGAAGAAAATCGTCTATTTTGGCTGATTTTTTTCCTCTCAGTGGTGATTCTCCTAAAGTAAATGTAATGAAAGCGGGATTTTTCCGGCGATTTTTGAATCCAAAAAAAAAAAACATTCGAAACAATATTCACTGGTCGTAGTTGAGGAAGATTGAGTGTAAACTTAGGAATAGACTCGAGGAGGAATTAGAGTAAGAAGTTGAGATCGATGAGACAATTTTATGAATGAGCATCTGTAGTCGAGTGATGGTAGTCAAACTAAGCGAATGCGTATGATAGAGGACTTGAAGTGGAAGCTAACAATATAAATTTTACTAAAAAAATTATGTAGATTGTTCCTCGAAAAGTGCAGAAAGTTTCTGACGTAGATTGATAGTGAAAGAAGAAAAGGAAATATTTTAAATAAAACTTTAGGTGTTGTCGTGATTGAAGAAATATAAATGATAAGATACAATATTGAAAGTATATAAATTTTTTAGTCCTTAGACGAGTTACAGTTAATCAACAAAAAAAATATTCGACTAACCCATATAAGATTAAAGTGACTTTTATTTTAAACAATGTTCTATTATTACTAAAAAGAAATCTTGCATCGATAAGTCTTTCTCAAGAAAAACATACGAATAGACTAATTATAAAATGATATAAAAAAAAATTCGACATTTAGACGAGTTTTACATGTAATGATTAGTTATTTGATTTTTATTTCTCTCTGTATATTTGTTGTGTAAAATAATAGTGTATAGAAAGAACTCGAGGACTTTTTCTTTTTACACTTTGAGTTTTGAATCTAGCGAGATCATTTAACCCTTTACCTGCCAATTACTAACAATTTTCTTTTAAAACCATAACCTTAATACTTATTCTACTCGTGCTGCGAAACACGACATCTGTTTATGTTACATGCTGCTGATTCTCTATGCATTTAATACTTTACAAAACAAAATAACTTTCTTATTATATGTGTAACAAATCAAATTAGCGGCTTCTAACACTGTTTTATTCTTTATTTGTCTGACCAAATTTACCCCTGAAACTTTATTTTACAATTAGCTTCACGTATTTTTTGGAAAATAATATATATAAAAAAAACCCAATACACATAAACACATTTACACAATAAAATTTAATATATTTAATATCTCTCAGAATAAGACCGATTGAAAGTGTTCTTAATTGAAGTGCTATATAAATTGTAGTTGAATGTTTAGTTTTTAAAGAAGAACAATAAATGAAGCTTCTTTTGTATGTTTAAATGAAAATGGCATAACAATTTTATTTTTCGCTATGAAGAGAAAAATTTGTGAAGACACCTAAAAAAAAACTGTATTGTGAATTTTTTGATACGAACACAAAGGCTTGAAAAAATGTCAGCTAAAGGGTTGAAATATCTTTTTTTTGGAGTGTAATTTGATAAAAGTAATAACACAGCATTAAAAGTATGATATAACAAGATAAACAATATGAATAGACTCAAAATAGATGGTAGAATTGAGAGTGAAGATACACATTTTAAAGTAAACTATTGCTAAGATATTGCATTTACCTTTTGAAATACTTGATAAGTCATGATTAGGATTGTAAAGAGCAAAGATGAATAATTTTCAATGAAACATTCGCAGAGTTGCAAATTTTATTAGTTCTTTTTTTTCTGTGGCAGAGAAGCATATTTTGCTGTTTATTTCTTTGATGCCGATAAGCTCTGATACAGAAAATACACCGTGACAGTGTTAACGTAGACTTGCTATAATTGTATGTTTTCATTACCTATAAATGTTTTTGTTGATGGAAAAATTAAAATGTCATAAAGACATGAAATTTTAGGCGCAAGTCGCTGCTTTAGTTGAGCCTCTCGTGATTTTTCACTGTTTTTTGCTGTTGTTTCGAGAACAAATGCTAAATAGTAGTTCAACCATAAAATATAGCAAACTTTTCTATCCACAATTTCTATATGTACCAAAACTTATATTCAATCATCTCTCGGCCACCAGCAAAATTGCTGGTGACGAGGATGAAAGTGTGGCTTTTGAGTGGTCCAATATTTACTATAAAAAACCTTTTATAGTCGCCATCTTTTGACACACCCCACAAAATCACATAAAATCACAAACACACCACAGTAGACACTAAATTGACAACAAAAAAAACACACTTCCAAATCTATTTTTGCTATAAAGTGCGTCCAATTTATTTTATGGTGCAACAAATATGAAGCATCTGTTTTTTTGTAATGTAGATAATCTTCCCTGCAAAACATGGAAGTGCCATAAAATTTTCTTGGTGGTTGTGAAATCTTTTCGGAGCTTCAAGACGCGCATGCTACATATAATGAACTTCTCAGCGCCAAATTCCCATTCATTTTCTTTTGTCTGTCCGCCAAGCGTGCTATAAAACTATAGTTTTGCGTAATCAAGTGCATTATAGCAAATATAAACAAAACTTGGGATAAGAGTTTTAGTCTGTGTTTTTACTATTTATAGTACCTTTTATCTTAGTATTTCAATGTTTTTCACGCTCATCGTGTTTAGATCTGGTGACAATTTTTGTGCCATAATTTTTTTTTTACAATCTTCAACTGTCATGTCTCTGTAATTCTTCCATACAAAAAAAAAGAAATCAAGACTAAGTGGATTTGAGAAAAACCGTAGCATGATCCGAAACAATGTACAAATATACCATAAATGCTTTGCAGAACTACTTTTTCCTATAAAATTCGCTCTCATAAAATAACATCCCCCACTCGATAGAGCAACACGTGAAAAGTAAGTTTCCATGG